CGAAGTAGCTTCCTCTGGTGTTATTCATCAACTGGTCCTTACTATTAAGAATCTCATCCAGCAATATGAGCATTGTATAGTTAAACACATATATAGAGAAGCTAATATGTGTGCAGATTTCTTGTCCAAGGAAGCTAGGAAATTTGGCATGGGTACTCATTCTCTCCTAGTCCCTCCGTAGGGCATTTGCTCTTTGTTTCTTCATGATTCGATAGGGGTTGCATACCCTAGAATGTGTCTATAATCTAGAGCACTACTCTCATTCTTTACCCAAAAAAAAAAAAAAACTTTGATGACCTGTTGATTGAACTATTGTCTCGTTGATTAAATCTATGAACCATAGGCTTGATCATTTGGGCGAATCAAATTTGGACCAGATTTATTAATACTATTTCTGGTATACTCAACTAATTAGGAGTTTGAATGAGACCCTATAATACTAATTCATTTCTAAAATGGTCATAAAAGTTTTCATTTCAAGGGTCTGTTCAGCAACATTAGCTTTTTTTAGTAGATGTTTGTTGTTGTACTAGCATTTAGCCGTTAGGTTTTGAGTAGCTTTTGATAAAATGCTAAAAGCTAAATATTGCATGGATTAACTTTTTATAAAATGCTACTTTAACATCTAAAAGTTAATTCAAATGTTACATTATCGAACACTATGAAAAATAACGTTTCAATTACATAAAAAGCTGCTGCCGAACACGACCCAAAAAGAATTTAATTGAAATTTAAATAAAAATTCTAAATCATATATCAAGATAATTTTGAGATGAAATCAATTCTTTGATTGGTAGTTGGTCATTTATTGAGAAATTATCTAATGTATGATATGTCTATGGATTGAGAATACAATTAATGTTAGAATGAGACTAAATTATGTGAACTAATATTGAGGATGAAATTTTATGAATATTGTGAATGGCAGATTTGTTTGATTGATAAAGATTTGTCTAACGGATGGGCTTTGTATTATTTATGATTATGGATACTTTACCATGTGGTTAAGTCCGATTTTACGGGAAACTCTGCTAAATTTTTGATAGAATTTCTAGGAGAATAATTCTAAGCATATGGATTATAATGCTATAAGTAAATAAGAAATAGTTAGTGATTTGAGTTTATTTATTTCTTGTTATAGCTGGTGACAGAGCAGGACCTTCTTCCTCCTCCATTTCCGGTGCACAATAAGGTCAGGATTTGTGAATCATCTGTGAGTAATAATGTATAATATTTTACCAACTTCATGAATGCATAACATACTTTTAAATTCATTACATCTATTTATTTTCAAGTATATATTGTGAATGATTGCTGCCTATATAGTGATGTGATTGATGTGTGGAAGTTGAGAAGACGTGGAGCATGAGTATGGGTGAGAATGCCCTCAGTGAAGCTGCAAATGGTGGGTGTGGCGCCCCCTTGTGCACTCCGAAATTATGACACTTCTCATGGACAAATATTGTTTTTAAGAAAAAATTTTTATGAAAAGTATGTTTATCCAATGATTACGATTTTACTCAAACGGGTGGGCTCCCTGGGTACACAAGTCACAGGAACATAAGATTATATCACTATAATATAATCATTACAACATGCTTGGTGAAAGTATAGTACAGTTAAGGTGATTCCACTAACTAACGACCATTGGGTGTGCATTATGGATTTCTATTATTTGTGGTTATTATGGTTGACATTGCATGAATGATGGATGCTCAATTAGAAGAGTATAAGGGTATATTGCTTGAATACTTGGGTTTAATTTTATGTATTATTATTCACTGAGTTTTATACTTACTCTATTATATGTAAATTTTTCATGAAGAAGCTCTCCCTCTCCTCTTCCTGTTGAATAGCTCTGTTTCTTCTCCACCAATAGAGCCTTAATATAATGCTCATTCCCAAATTTCTATTTCTATTAAAAACTATCTTAAAACTAAATATAATTATATCAACATCTTCCTGCATTAGGATTGGTTATGTAGGAGTTGTATGGACTGGTAACTTAAATATGTAGATCTGGATAATCTATTTTAATTTTATGAATGAACAAATCTATATATTTTAATTGCGCCATTAAGTGGGCCTAATTGTGATTTATGCATGCATGCTATGGGCTTTATGTATGATTTATATTTATTATATTGTATATATATGGATTTTTACGTAGATCGTGACACATTATAAATTTTGATATGAAATATGGAGTTGGGTTCCATGACATATATGCATATAGGATATATGGCCTACTAAATGTTATGAATATATGTATGGATAAATATAAGATTGAGCTTAATGTTTGACTTAGTAACTCTTTTACTGCGAATCTTGATGACCTTATGTCTACCTGAATCCTAGTGACAATAGGTTATGACACTATACCATCCCGATAAGTTCACACCTTATAATGAATAGTTAATTATTATTTTAAAAAATCAAAACGTTTCATTGCTATTTTATCTCTCTCTCTCTTTTTAACTTAATGGAAAATATTTATATCCTTGTTTGAGCTAATAATCATCATTAAATTTTTTTTGTAAATAAATCTTTTCGTAATGAGTTGTTCATTTTTTTTCACATCAAAACAAAATAACTTATTTTTTAAGGTTTTATTTCACCTAAACTTTGTTTTATGTTGCAATTTTTACTTTATTTTGAACTTTATATCAATTTCACCATAAACTTTGATATTATGTTGTAATAGCACTCTAATTACTATTTAAACTTAAATTACAAAACAAAAAAAAAACATTAATGTACGATTCACACTTGATCTTGCGTTAACTTAATTAATTCAAGCTTCCTCTCTCATGTTAAGTTTAACTTTTGTCTTGAACAATATATATTTTTTATTCTACAGTTATAAATTATAATTGTTTACAATTATATTTTATGTTCTATATATTTTTTTTTAAAAAAGACATTAACAATTTCTAATAGTTTACCGGTCAAATAATTTCATAGTTGAATTTTTTCAAGCTTGATTTTTTAGATTTTATAATTATCTCAAAATTTATATTAAGTCAAATAATAATAATTAGTTTATCGTTTAAGAAGTACTCTAATCTTTTAAAAAAAAAAGACATCGATATATAAAATAATGCATTTTTATTTATTACTTTTATTATCAATCAAAGAAATAATTTAAAAAATATTTTTTAAAAAATAATAGCAGAGATTTTCCTTAATATTAATCTAAGCTTCATCAATCACTCATACATTTATATTAAGTTTTTGAAGATAATGTTAGGATTTTATTAAAAAACTTCAAATGAATACAAATATTAAAGGGAGGACATGACCCCTCTCCTGAAAACCAAACATAGAACAAAAACTATAAAATAATTATTGTTCGTTGATCTAATAAGAAATCATAATCAAAAATAGAATGTGAACTTGAAGAAAATGGATAGATTTTCGAAAGTGATTGATTAGATGAACTTACCGAATCTATAGCGTAATCATCCATAAATTAGTTGCTTATGAACGAACACGGAGAATTTGAACCACTAAATCCAATGGTGGAATATGCCGCACTAATAGGTTCCAAAAGATGAAGATCATTGTATAGTTGAAAAATTCTCCACAAGTTGCAACCTATCTAAATAAATTAAACAAATGTAAAAAACAAAATAAAACTCTACATAAAATGAAGAGATCATAAACTGCATATAAAAAGATGGAGATAAAACATAAACAGTAGCAAAAACATAGATAACATGAATTTATGCTAGAATAGATATAAATCTGTAATTTATTTCGCAAAAAATATAAAAATTTGCAACAAAACTAAAAATATGAGAAATGACTGTTAGAAGAGACAAGAATCAGCCCCTCCCCGTATGTCCATGCTTGATTTTGCCACATTTATATTTAGTTAACTAAAAATCAAGTGTAAACTCCATTTTCATATTTTTTTTTATTATAATTTAAGTCGTAATTATAATTTAAGGTGTATTGCAATAAATTGTCAACGTTCAAGATGAAATTGTAAAAAATGCAAAATCTTGAAGATAAAAATAATGTGTTTGCCTTTTTTTAAAGATACGTTATTTTCTAAATATTTACTAGGGTTTGTTTATTTTTATAAATATTTTTTTAAAAAATATTTTTTAAAGTTTTTTGTTGCTTAATTGCAATATTGAATTGGTTAAACAATATGAAATCTTTTAATTGATAAAAATAAAAATTATAAAAATTTCATATTTTAAAAAATACATAAAAATAATACTTCTTTCGTCCTAAAATTATAGTTTCAATTTTTTTACACAGTTAAAATAATTATTTAAATTATTTTAGCTATAATTTTTTCCTTATTTTTTTATATATACACTTAACAATTCTAAAAATTATATATTAATTATTTCTTGAGATTTACAAATTGGATGAATGATTAGTACATTAAAATTTCAGAATTAATTAATTTAAAATTTTTTTAAACTATCTAGCAAATTCACCTTATATTAATTATTCACATGGAGTACTATAAAAGGGTATTGTGAAAAAATGAAAAAAAAAATTTAAAAATATAAATGAGACCATTATTTTGAGGCACTTAAAAAGAAAATTAAGAATGTAATTTTAGGACCTAAAAGGTAAATTATAGTAGTCCTTGGTCATATGTAAATATGACAGTGGTGATGGTAAACAGTAACTATAGGTGATAGTTACAAATAATTAGTAAATCAATAAAATATTTAGTTATAAGGTTGTAATACGTTTCTCGATGTCAAAAAATATTTTTATAAAGGTATAATACAGTAATAAATGCATTGAAAACTTAATAACAAATTTAGGTTCAAATCTCTTCCTTCACTGATTTTAATAAATAAAGCCTAGTAAATTTTTTTTTTTTCTTCCTTAATTCTAATGAAATCGATGAAAAGAATTCAGCGGATATGTTAAATGCAGAAAATGGACAAACGGTGCGTTTCAATCGGCAAGGATTACCAACTCCAATAGAAACGACAACGTTTGTGGAAAATGGGAGAAGATTATCCAGTTTAGCAGGATGCGAGTGTATATTTGAAAGATGACATGAATGGAGCTCTCAGCAAGTACACTGAAGAAGCAAGCTCCGGTAATGGAGCTAGCTTTAAACCTCTCCCCGCTTCTTCCTCGAAGGAAACACAAAACTTCTATAGAATATAGTAACAAAATTCACCTGTTTCGCCGTTGTCATATCGCGAGAAATCAATTCAAATTTCAACCCAAAAGCAGTAATACTAATCCCAACTTGCCGTTGTCAGAGAAACAACATAAGCTTTGGATTAGCGAAGCAGAACTCGAAGATGAAAACGGCGACTTTGACGAAGAAGAAGAAGAGTCGAGTATTTTGTCGTTGAGTGTGAAGCCGGAGAGAAACATAACTCTGCTCGACGATTATGAGATGGAAGAGCTTGACTACGGTTCTGACCCTAATCATCGAAGCGGTTAGTTCTGTTTATAGCTCAATTTTGTTTTCTTGGTATTTTTTGGGTAATTTTTAAAGATTTATGGCTAAACTTAGAGAAGAGAATGCAGGGTATGTTGCTGTGGTTGGGAAGCCAAATGTTGGAAAGAGTACATTATCGAATCAAATGATAGGCCAAAAGTTATCAATTGTTACTGATAAGCCTCAGACTACGAGGCATCGGATTCTTGGTATATGTTCTGGCCCTGACTACCAGGTTTGATTTATTTAATTTATTTCTTTCTTTCTCCTATTTTGTTAGTTGATATTTAAAATTAAGTATAAGTCCACTGTGTATTAGCTAAGAAATAATTGTCAATTCCAACCTATATATAAGAAAAATCCCTTTTAGAGCTCAAATATGGAGGAAGAAAATGAAAACCCTTCATTTATTTTTTGACAAATTCAAATCTTTGCTTCTTAATCCATCAATACTTTTAGATAATTTTCTACATCTAAATGTATACAGCAATCCAAAGCTGGGTTAAGTCATAGAAGATTATATTATGGCGCCTCAGGATTGGAACTCGAGTAAAGGAATTCTAGCTCATTATCATTTTATTTTTAGTGTTATTCTATTTTGTACTATTTCCATGCTTTCTAGTTGATAATGTGATGACGTTCGAGTAGATAAGAGTAAGGACCTTTGTTAATATGCATTTAGTGTTAGCACTTGATCATGGCAATTTGAAACTTTGTCTGGAGAATACTATTGCAGTGTTTTGCAGTAGGCAAGTTTTTTGATTATAGGTATGCAATTGTTGTGCTGATTAGCAAGACTTTGTCTTTAGTAGAATACATGGTGAATGATTTCAGCAATGATCTAGTATTTGTTTGAATATGCTGGAAAATGGTTTGTGAAAATCAGAGTGTTGAAGAAAAGGAGTTTTAAATGTCCAGATGATAAAGACAGTTTTGTGTTTGGCTAAACTAACAACATGAAAACGAGTTGTAAATTGTGCCGATGCTTTCTTCACTTGCTCTATCTACCTATCTGCATATACATGAGCACACTTTGATGTTGAAACACATTTACATTGACTTAATGCCATTCATTATGACTCAAAACTTTCTTGTAGATGGTACTTTATGATACTCCTGGTGTCATTCACAAGCAGATGCACAAGTTGGATTCTATGATGATGAAGAATGTTCGCAGTGCTGCCATTAATGCAGATTGTGTACTAGTCATTGTTGATGCATGTAAAGTTCCTCAAAAGGTATTCTTTGCTGTTTGTGGAATCTTTGGACACTTAACTACTGGTCAATCCCCTCTACCAACATTTTTAAGGGTAATAAGAGGTGTGCATGGAAGATATATCACTATACGTGAGCCATCACACCCCTCATAATCCATAGATAAAGATAATTACAAAATTACAATTATGTCTATTGGTTTTAGATTGATGAAGTGTTGGAAGAAGGTCTTGGAAGCCTCAAAGAGAAACCACCCATGTTGCTAGTATTGAACAAGAAGGACTTGATCAAACCTGGTGAAGTTGCAAAGAAACTTGAGGTCAGAACCCATAGATTAATGCTTGTATTATACTCTTATTTACTATTGGAAATTATATTTTTACTTATTGCTCTAGTGCTTAGAATTGATGGTTTATTTAATGTTAAGCTAAGTAAACTAAAGGGTATATCAGACTGGTCTGCAAGTTGTTGGACAATGTATGAACTCCTCCCATTTTTAGGTTGCACCAAGCTGCTTTTAGGTTCACTTACTACTGGTGCAGGTAGCCTGTTGTCAAATGCTAGCTAGTGAGTGAACTGTGACTGAAAATGTGATCTTATGCTGCTGTAATTATTCATTTGAAACAACTACTGGAGTGCTTTGCCAGTGTAATACGTTGCAGCTTTGTATACTGCTCTTTGGTTAAGTTTTCAAGTAGAGGAAACATAATTGTTGATTGGCAATATGCTGCAATTCATCAGTTATGGTCATTTATGGAGGTTATTTTTAAGCATTATGTGATCTAATGTGCAATACTCGAGTTATATTGTGAAACAGAATCTAAGTTCCTCAAGGATTTTGTCTCAGACTTGGCGCTTCTTTCATAGCTTCCATACCTAAACAAATACCATATTATTGCAGTGGTATGAGAAATTCACAGATGTTGATGAGGTCATACCCGTGAGTGCAAAGTATGGCCATGGAGTGGACGACGTCAAAGATTGGATACTGTCAAAACTTCCAGTTGGGCCAGTATATTATCCAAAGGTATTTAGAGAGAGAATATTCCTATTTTGTTGTCTTCCAATTTTGTTATGAACTGACATTCATATCTTTGGTAAAAGTGGTCTATCATTACTGATATTATGTACAAATCTGAACATTGTCAAGTGCCGGTCTGATAATGTAGATGGTCAATGATTCAAATTTTTTCACATCCCTCCCTTTCCCTTTGCCTGGAGAAAAAAGAAAAAACGGAAAAGGACACTTGACATGAATGAGACAGAATATTATGTTGAAAGCTGTCATTTGCTATGGGGTTTCTCATTTAACTAAATCTTAATCACAACTAGAGGGGATTATTTGGTTCCTTCTTTTTCATGTTCAATTTAGGACTATGTTTTTTCATGAGCTATTCTGTAGCAAAATGTTTTTACCAGTCCAATACACAGTTTTACATGATCATTTCAGGCAACAACCCTCAGTTTTCCCCAACTCATGCAAATGCCACCCTCACTTTCTTTACTACGAAAGCATACTTATTTCTTTCAAAATTAAGCCCTTTTATGTATTTCTCCATCTTGACATGGTTGTTTATGCTGGGGATTCATCAAGCAAGAGAGAGATGGACAGAGAGGACCCATATAATCACACAAAGTGTTGTTTATAGTGCATCTCAGTCATATTTAGAGATCAATAATTATCTAGGCTAGCTCTCTATTGAATATTGATGTTATTCCTTCAAGAAAAGTCTTTTTCGATGTTGGGATATCTATATTTTGCCTGCGTTTTTGTGTGTGTGTGGTGGTGGTGGTGGTTGGGGAGTGGGGGTGGGGGAGGGTGTGCTTCATCTGTAGAAACTTTACTACTGTCTATTTGATGTATTTTTTGAGCGACAGTTGTGGATCTGTCAAGTGCAATCAAAATGATTTTTAAGTTAGTACATTTTAAAGTGTGACTCTATGAATGTTTTAATAGTCTTGATTGAGTTCCTCTACTAGGAACAAGATCCTGTTGGTCGTATAGTCTTCCATGATTGATTGAAAAGTAAATAGAAAATATGCACAAGCATGATAATTAGATATAATGTTGTGAGTTATAGCTGAATTAAAGCTATCCTAGCTTCTCTTATCTGGCATCAAGGAACATTCTGTAGTATGCGAGTTTGTCCCTGATTCAAGGAATTTACTTTGGTGGATAGTTTACTTAACCGGTTCATTTACCATCTAATTCTTGGATCCATCCTAACCAATTCCCGACAAGCTTATTTATATTTATATAATGTTTCTGTTTCTTTTAGCACTTCTATTCAAGGAATCAAACTTCTTTTTGTATGGTAACTTAACTTCCTTGTTGCTTTTGAGCTCTCAGGACATTGTTAGTGAACATCCAGAAAGATTTTTTGTTGCTGAAATTGTAAGAGAGAAGATCTTTATGCAATTTCGTAATGAAGTTCCTTATGCATGTCAGGTAAATAATAATTCCTTGTATATTCTTTGTCTGCACCTCAGAACACACCAAATACTGCTTTTCAGCTGATGGTATTTGACCTTGAAACATATTTTCCTGTAGGTAAATGTTGTGAGCTACAAAAGTAGGCCCTCAGGAAAAGATTTTATACAAGTGGAGATTGTTGTTGAGAAAAACTCTCAGAAGATCATCATCATTGGAAAAGTATGGTAATTTTATTTATGGAATGAATACTACAATGGCAGATGGACTGTTGAAATGTGAAAAAAAATTACAATTCAGCTTGGAATTGAAATGCAATTTGAAAAACATGATATTTAGGAGATGGGATTTGAATAATCTATGGATTTTGTACAAATCCCTTGTCTGGCACAACAAAAATAGGGTAAAATCCATTTGGTTTCTTGGTGAAACTCCTCGTTTTTTAATGAATAAGAAATCTTTTGTTTTTATCTTTTTCTATTACAAAAGTACTCTTTAAATCCATGGATTTAATCTCTATAGCAAACAAGAGATATGATATAAATCCATGTTCTTAATTTCATGCATTTTTACAAATTGCGTGGATTTCCAAATCATCAATCCAAAGATTGTTGATATTTAGTTAAACTAAAGTGTTTGTGTCTCAGCCTTTAATTTTCTTTCTCAATTCATGTTTCCGACATTCCTGCAGGAAGGGCAGGCTCTGAAATTACTTGCAACTGCTGCTCGGCTGGACATTGAAGATTTCTTGCAAAAGAAAGTTTATCTTGAGGTGCAAGATTCTAACCAACTACTTGTTGATAATTAAAAAGTTTTCGATGCTTTGCACCAAGCCATATCCTCCATAAATGATTGTGTTTAGCTAGGGACGAAGCTAGGATTTATAAAGGAGGGGAGCAAACTACTATAAAAATTTATTAAGAGAATATTATGAAAAAAAGGAGGGGGCAAAATGGTTAAAGGTGCTTAAAATTTTCTTCAGGCCAATGTTCAAATCACATAGTTACAAAGAGAATTTTTTTGTTTTTCTTTAAAACAAGAGGAAGGCAATTGCCCCTCTCCTCCACCATGTAGATTGAGCCTTACTGTTACCCACTGTTCAAGCAGATAGAAGTTAAAGTAAAAGAGAACTGGCGGCAAGATGAAGGACTTTTAAACTACTATGGCTACGGAGGGAAAATTCGAGCATTGTAATGTGCATTCTGTCAAATTTCATATATTTTCGATCAGAAACTGTAAGTGAAGATGTTGTGTCAATGAAAAAAATTGTTAAATGGCACCGTGTCTATGTTCCGTAAGCAGTTTTCATTTTGTTTTGTTTTGTTTTGTTTTGTTTTGTTTTGTTTTTTTTTTTTTTTTTTTTTTTTTTTTTTTGTTTTGTTTTTGTTTTTGTTTTGTTTTTTTTTTTTTTTTTTTTTTTTTTTTTTTTTTTTTTTTTTTTTTTTTTTTTTTTTTTTTGCCTTTTTTTGGCATTCCTGGTAGTGTAGAAGCCTTCCATCAGCGTTCTTGGTAGCTAGAGTTAGTTGCTAAAGCATAGATTTGTTAGGTCACTTCTACTTATTTTGTAAGCTTCTTTTGTCCAATTGCATTAGGAAGAAACAATTTAAAATTTCATCTCATATGAAGTGAAAATTTTATTGATGTAGTAAAAATTAAATCACCTCATAAGTAAATATAGTCAATGCAATATTTGACTTTTCAAATTTTCCATTTAGTAATATTCAACTTTAAAATGAGTTGATCAAACAAAATACTTTACTAAAATAAGAGTATTAAAACTTTATAAATCAAAATTTATATTCCTTTTGAAAGATTAACTCCAAGTTAGAATATATAGACTGCTTGTTCATCAAATCAAAGGACAAAGAAAAAAAAAACTTTGAAATTTAAAAAAGAATAGTCTCAAAACAGACAAGAATTTGATATTAATCTTTAAAATTCTCTCAGGATCAAATTCCATTATTTTCTCATTATATGTAAAATTATAAGCTTTGCTTTATTGTGAGATAAGAAAACATAGATTTTATAAGCTTTATATTATTTCAATTGAAATCTAATTTCAAAACTTTGGTAAAAATTAAGCATTTTCTTAATCTCTTTATTTATTTTAGTTATTGTCACTAAACATCGTTGAACAATTATTTAAGTTCAAAATATAATTATTTAAAATAATAATACGAGCATGCTTAGAAAACCTAAATAGATCAATAATCATTAGAGAATTTTGAGTTGTTATTACATTTCCTTCTTTGGGTTGAAAATAGGATGATGCAATAAAATCTATACTTAAATAAAATTCAATACCCAATGACGGTTTTTGAAACCATAAAAAATAATTCATATTCTTCCTAATCTAAATTATTTATAGATAGGGTGAGAAGGATCGAATCTTAGAAACTAGTTTTGATTAATTATTTTAATAACCAACAATTTAAATAAATAAAAATAAAAAGGGGAGAGGGTTTGTAGAAGAGGGTAAGTTAAACAGAAAAACAATTAAGATAATTAAAGAATGCAATAAAAGAAATAAGTTTAAAACAATATGAGATGAATTCAATCAAAGATTATTCTTAATATAATTATTGATTTTAAGATAATAATTCCAAGCAATAGACAAGTTATAATCTCTCATCAAGCATCGCTGATCAATTTTTCTGTATTATTAGATTAAACAAGATAAACGCTATGAATAATCTCTAACTAGCAAATAACCATGAACAAGCGACATAATTTAATTTGTTAATAGCAATAAGAACTAGAAAGACTCTGCCCTAATTAACAAACTCTACAAGCGAAGTTTATTTAAACTAAATTGTGAATTTTCATAATATAATTTAAAGGTTTAATTATAATTAGATTATATTACGAGAAATTAATTATTTAGTCCTTAAAGTTTGACGAAATTATTTAAGTAGTTATTGCCTTTTAGACAAATATTCAGAGCCTCTCTAACGTTTACATCTGTCAATCTAAGTAATCCCTCCGTCCAATTTCTCCGGTTTTCACAGTTAAATCATAAAAAAGACTTTAATATCCTTACCTTTTCGTCAACCATGTGTCATCTTCTCTAAAAACCTATACAACAATACACAAAAGAATTTTAATTAATTAGGCATATATAATTAATATTAATTACTTAAGGAAATTAATCACTTAGTTTCAATGATTCAAAATCTTGCATATGAAGTTAGATATACAAATCAACAATCTCAGGTATATATTATTTTTTAAAAAAATTCTTTTTCTTGCACTTTCTTTCATTTTCTTTTTGTCTTGTTTGGCTTTTTACCGGGTCTATATTTCTTATTTGTTTTTCATTTTTCCACTTTCTTCTTCTTCTTCTTCTTGTTAGCTTGAGTTGATAGAGAAAGAAATATGTGGTCTTGAAAAACAAAGAGAAAGTCAAGAGTTTTAGATGAATAAAAAGAGCAGAGAGAGAGAGAGAGAGAGAGAGAGAGAGAGAGAGAGAGAGAGAGAGAGAGAGAGAGAGAGATAGAGAGAGAGAGAGAAGAGAGAGAGGAGACTGATGAGAGAGAGAGAGAGAGAGAGAGAGGGAGACTGAGATTTCACAATCAGTTATTTGTTTTAAGGTAACTAACTTGCCTTTTTCAACGGCCACGACACTCACAATGCATTAATTTGCCTTGTATTAATTGTTACTTGAATCAACTCAACTAAACAAATTACATATTTAATCTTGTTGATTAATTATATGTTATTCTATTAAATTGAACGATTAGTCATATTGAACAAATAATAAGATAACAATGAAGATTGAGTTTCTCATAATATCCAGAAAATATAAATATTAATTCAAATAAAAGAAAAAAAATATATTAAAAACTCACAATGATAGAAGAATTTTTACTTCAAATTCAACTTTTGACCGAAAAAAAAAAGGTTAGCCACACATGGTCATGGAGAAAACGCAAAAAATAATAGAAAAAAACCTAAGGAGTACTATGGTTCCCAAAATAACGATCTTTCCTCCCTTAATGGACTTAAGGTACTATTTTGAAGAGGGGATCTCTAAACTAGGAAAATAAATCTAAAATTAATTACAAAATAAAACATTTAGAATTCGAGTATCTTTCTAATTTCTTAATTAGTAGTCTAGTTAATTTAAAAGATTTTCTAGAGTAAGCCTGAAGTAATCCTAGTAGGCAAATGTCTTAATCTCGACCTGCCCTTAGCTTTGCGCAAAGCTAAATTGTCAACTTCCAGGAGGTTTTAGCAATTTCTTGGATTTCAGCTCTAACCTAGCTCATTTCTCCAAAACTTCAAGAATTTCTCCTAAAAGCTTCTTATCCCAAGGTTTTAGCATGACCTAAGAAAATTATAAAAACAAAGTAAAAAGTTCTCATTTTAAAATAAAAATATCCTCAAATGATAATCAAATAGAGAATAGATCATGCTAAATTTGTTGAATAATCTTTAATATAGCCCAGATCTATTGTTCATAGAATTTGTTTGACAAGAATATACAATAATCGGAAGCGTACCTTGATCCATAACGGCAGCGTACCTGATCCATAACGGCAGATCTATGTTATGGATTACCTCATTGCGGCAATTCGATCTCACCCGTTAACAGCAGGATCTGCATTTCTTCCACTTTGGCCTTTTGTCCGTAAGTGCTTCTCTTAATGGTCAGAGAATAATCAACAGCCTGCGCAGAGTTTCTTTTATGAGCTCCTCAAACAAAACTATTTCCGATTGTGTTTGAGGAAGCCGTCACACTCTCCTTGTTTCTGTGTTAACCCTAATCTGTTGCATTCCTTTAGTCTTTTATAAGCAGAGAAGGGTATTTAAAATTCCTAAACTAGCTCTTATCCATTAAGCCCAATACATCATTCTTGGGCCCCACCTTAATTAGAAAACCAGCCCCTTTAATCACATTGGCCCACATACAGATTATTAAATAATCTAAACAATCTCCCACTTGGCCCATGTGCATTTTCTTGATCTATCATGTTTACCTTTAATTAGAATTTAAGATGATCAGGATTATGGCGGTCACAACAAAATTCATTCATCGACATGATTCCTTTCCATATATCACAGACCACTTCAATTCATAAAACTTTAATGGAGAAACTATTCAACAAAAACAGATACATGTTTACAATCACTGTTTATTGCTATCTCACTTAAACCATTCATTATATACATCTTTAATGTGGATTAAACACCATAAATAGCAAAAACACATCTTTAATTGATTTCCCAAGTGTCACAATAATATGGAGCAAAACACAACTATATGTATATATATATACAAAGTTTTAACACCATCTGCTAACAAGGACTTATCTTATAATGCCATCCTATCAACATGCTAGTTGAGATTTTGGGCGGTTAGGCCTTTTATTAGCGGATCCGCTATCTATCGATGGTACCGATATGCTTAAATGACACATTTGTGTTTTTTGCATTCTTCTTCACAGATAGGTACTTTCAAATCCATGTGCTTGGCACCCTTAGTGTACCTATTTTTTTTTCATTTTTAGAGAAGAGACAGCTGCGAAAATTATCACAGTAAATTCTCAACAGTCTAGCTATACTGTCGACAATGCTAGGACTTGAGATAAAGTCCGCACAACCCACAATGTCATGAACAGTGGCCTCAAAGCATGCCCACAAATTTCAGCCTCCATTGTGGAAGTAGCAATGACAGAAACTGCTTTCCACTTTTTCCATTGATACTGGCTCCTCCAGCTAGAGAACAAGTAGCCAAATGCTAGCGGTTCTTCGAATCTACACCAACCGACATAGTCTGAATTCCGAGTATCCACCACTTCTTAGATGGCTGGACTTCTATTAAGTGAAGTAATGATCCTAGTTTGCCTTGAAATACCTAAGTACTTTCTTTTGCAGCTTGTCCAATGATCCATCCCGGATTACTTTATATTTCGACCCTAAACATTCCTACGGTAAAACTTATATCCAGTCGAGTACATGTTTTGGGTCGGGGGGGGAGGGGATGGAAACATACATTAAGCTCCCAACCACTGACGCATATGGAATAGACTCTATCTCTTTACCATTTCAAAATCATTTTTAGGACATTGCATTCGCTTGAAACCTATCTCCTTTTCTAATTGCGAAACGTGTGCGCTGCCGCAGCATTTTTGCATTCTGAATCTCTCTAATTACCTTATTCAATATAAGCTCTCTGAGACAATCCTTAATAGGTCCTTGTGATCTATCATCGGAATATTTCTATTCCAATACAAAGGATGCCTCTCCAATATCTTTCATTTCAAGTTCTTAGAGAGGGGAAAACCCTTACATCATGCAACAACCAACATCATTCGCCAG